GTCTGAGGAGCTGTTTGGCTCAGCAGCTATCCTTGCTGCTAGCTAGCTGCCTATCAAGCTAGTGGGCTTGAACGCAGCCCGCGACGCAGTTAGCCACTTTGGCTGGGACCGCGGATTGTCTCGGGCTTGTGGCTGTCTAGATCCCTGCTGTTTGTTGTTGTTGTTTTCCATCTTCCCTGCGACCTGCCCTGTCTGGAACTGCGAGGAGTAACATCGTAACCTACTGTTGTTACCATGACAAAGACCAATGCCGGCGGGAGTACCGTTGAGGACCGTGGTGTCTCTCTATCACAGGTAAATTATCTTTTAAACAAACAAAACTAGTTCTACAAGCAGTTGTTACAACAACAAGAAAATAGCTTCAAGTGTTTTGTCCAAATACTGGTGGAGTCAAGTAATAGGACCTTAAGAACAGTTTGCAGTTCTCCCAGGGTCAGCTCGATGGGTTTAAATAGGAGAACGGCAAGATGACAGCAAGCTGTAAGTCATTGAGAGAGGACATCAGTTCTGTATGTGAATCCATGATAACAATGACGGAGAAATCAGAATATCTCGAGGGACAATCAAGGCGGAACAACATGGCTGTGGACGGAATTGCAGAATCTCCACCTAAGACCTGGACGGAGTCCAAGGACAAAGTGATGGAAATTATCTCTGAGAAACTGAAGATGGACCACAGGAAGATTGAGGTGGAGCGCGCCCACAGGACTGGAAAACCCACCACCGGCCCAGGTGACAGGCCCAGGCCGATAGTGGTCAAGTTCCTGAGGTTCAAGGACAAGGTAGCTGTTCTGGAAAGAGCCAAGAACTTGAGAGGAATGTATATCTTCCTCAACAAGGACTATCCTGAAGCTGTGCGCCAGAAGAGGAAATAACTTATTCCAGCCATGAAAGCTGCCAGAGCACGTGGGGACGTTGCTTACATCCGCTATGACAGGCTCATTGTCCACCCTCCCTCCCAAAAGCCAGGAAGGGATTTAGAGAGCCAAGAATATGGGTTTGTAGCTTTAACACCGCAGCACACACATACACTTACACATACCAACTGATTAATGGACTGCTGAATGTATTTTTTTTCTTGCTTTGTTTGCTCTTTTCCATATTATGTCTATCTCTGATAAGATACCCAGGAAAGGGCTGAAAATAGCCAATATTAATGTATGTTGCCTTAGAAATAAGGTTCATGAAATCAATAACTTGCAAACATCAGATAACATTCATATATTAGCCATTTCTGAGACTCACTTAGATAATTAATTTGATGATACAGCAGTAGCAATACAAGGATCTAACATCTATTGAAGAGACAGGAATGCTTATGGGGGAGGTGTTGCTGTATATATTCAGAACCATATGCCTGTAATGCTTAGAGAAGATCATATGTCAAGTGTTATTGAAGTGTTGTGGTTCTTTTGGGGTGTTGCGATAGGCCACCAAGTGCTAACAGTCAGTATCTAAATAATATGTGTGAAATGCTTGATAGTGTACGTGATTTAAACAGAGAGGTCTACTTTCTTGGGGACCTGAATATTGACTGGTTTTCATCAAGTTGTCCGCTCAAGAGGAAGCTTCTCACTGTAACCAGTGCCTGTAATCTGGTTCAGGTATTAATCAACCTACCAGTGTGTTTACAAACACTACAGGAACAAGATTATCCACATGTATTGATCACATTTTTACTAATACTGTAGAACTTTGTTCTAAAGCTGTATCCGTACCCATTGGATGCAGTGATCACAATATAGTGGCTATATCCAGGAACGCCAAAGTTCCAAAAGATGGGCCTAAAATAGTGTATAAGAGATCATACAAAAGATGTAGCTGTGACTCATGTGGATGATGTTAAAAATATTTGTTGGTCTGATGTAATTAATAAGGAGCATCCAGATGCTGCACTTGATGAATTTATTACATTACTTCTTCCAATTATTGATAAACATGCACATGTTAAGAAACTTACTGTTAAAACTGATAAGGCTTCATGATGAGGAATTGAAAGGAATTGAAAAACGGTATGGCTGAAAGAGATGGGGCAAAAGAAGTGGCTAAGAAGTCTGGCTGCACCTCTGACTGACTGACTTTCTGCAAATTGAGAAATTATGTGACTAAACTCAACAAAAAGAAGAAGAAAATGTATTATGAAGCCAAGATCAATGATAAAAAGAATGATGGAAGCTTTGGAGTACTTTAAATGAAATTACTGGCAGAAAGTCAAATTATTTTCGTCAAATCAGATGGCTTATTCATCACAAAACCATTTGATGTTGCCAATTATTTTAATGATTACTTTATTGGTAAAGTGGGCAAACTTAGACAGGAAATGACAACAACGAACAGTGAGCCATTGTACTCGTATAAAAAAGAAAATGAAGAAAATGAATTGTTATCGATCATTAATGACAAATCTCCTGGCATTGACAACTTAGATGGAAATCTACTGAGGATGGTGGCTGACTCTATAGCTCTCCTATCTGTCATATCTTTAATCTAAGCCTAGAGGAAAGTCTTTGTCCTCAGGCCTGGAGGGAAGCCAAAGTCATTCCGCTACCCAAGAGTGGTAAAGTGGCCTTTACTGGTTCTAACAGCAGATACATCAGCTTGCTGCCAGCTCTTAGCAAACTGTTGGAAAAAATGGAGTTTGACCAAATACAATGTTACTTCTCTGTAAACAAATTAACAACAGACTTTCAGCATGCTTATAGAGAAGGGCACTGAACATGTACTGCACTGACACAAATTACTGATGATTGGTTGAAAGAAATTGATAATAATAAGATTGTGGGAGCTGTACTGTTATATTTCAGTGCATCCTTTGATATTATTGACCATAACCTGTTGTTGAGAAAACATGTGTTATGGCTTTTCAACATCTGCCATATCGTTGATTCAGAGCTATCTATCTAATATAAACCAGAGGGTTTTCTTTAATGGAGGCTTCTCTAATGTAAAGTGTGGTGTACCGCAGGGCAGCTCTCTAGGCCCTCTACCCTGCACTGGCATTAAACAAAGCATTTGTGTCCATGTATGCTGATGATTCAACCATATAAGCATCAGCAACCACAGCTAATGAAATCACTGAAACCCTTAACAAAGAGTTGCAGTCTGTTTTGAAATGGGAGGCCAGTAATAAACTGGTCCTGAACATCTTTAAAACTAAGAGCATTGTATTTGGTACAAATAATTCCCTAAATTCTAGACCTCAGCTGATGCTGGTAATGAATGGTGTGGCTGTTGAACAAGTTGAGGAGACTCAATTACTTGGTGTTACCTTAGATTGTAAACTGTCATGGTCAAAACATATAGATTCAATGGTTGTAAAGATGGGGAGAGGTCTGTCCGTAGTAAAGAGATGCTCTGCTTTTTTGACACCACATTCCACAAAGCAAGTCCTGCAGGCTCTTGTTGTATCTTATCTTGATTATTGTCCAGTCATATGGTCAAGTGCTGCAAAGAAACACCTAGTTAAGCTGCAGCTGATCCTGAACAGAGCGGCACGTCTTGCTCTTCAATGTAATCAGAGGACTAATATTAATACTATGCATTCCAGTCTCTCTTAGCTAAGAGTTGAGGAAAGACTGACTGCCTCACTTGTTGTTTTTATAAGACACATTAATGTGTTGGAAATGTCTAATTGTTTGTATAGTCAACTTACACACTCGGGTCTTTTCACAGTCCCCAGGTCCAGAACAAATTCAAGGAAATGTACAGTATTATACAGAGCCATGAGTGCATGGAACTCCTTTCCATCTTATATAGCGCAATTGAACAGCAAATCTGGTTTCAAAAAACTAATAAAGCAACACCTCACGGCACAACGACCTACTTGTTGTGTGTATTTACTGACATGTATGTGTAACTGTCATGACTTCCTCCGAAGCTGCCTCCTCTCCTTGTTCGGGCAGGCTTCGGCGTTCGTCGTCACCGGCCTTCTAGCCACTGCGGCATCACATCTCATCATTCAATTTGTTTTGTCTTGTCTATTACACACACCTGGTTCATATCCCTTCATTAGTATGTGTATAAGTGTTCCCTCTGCCCCCTTGTCCTTGTGGGTGATTGTTTAATGTGAGGAGAGAGTAGCTCGGTTGAGCTCCGTGTGTTTTGTATTGCCGGGGTATATTTTCCCTGTGTGCCTGTTTTGTTCCATTGCGTCTGTTTTGCGCACTGGACTGTTTGACGCTATCCGGAATAAACTCTGTATTCTGTGATTTACCCTTTTGCGCCTGACTCCTTCAAATCACCCATCACAGTAACTGATATATGCACACACACACACACACACACACACACTATACGTTAATGTTTTTAAATGTATGTCAATTGTAAAGTGTTTTGTCTGTAATGTATTTTTCATTATATTTTGTCAGACCCCATTAAGACTAGCTGTCGCCATTGGCGTCGGCTAATGGGGATCCAAAAATAAATGAAACATATTTTTTTGTTGTTGTAACTAGTGTTCAATACTGAACACAATATTAACTGGCATTGCACACAATCACAAAGTCCAAACACACAATATGTACAACAAAGCGCTGTTCTCTTATGTTATTATTGTCAAGAGATACATTAGGAAGTAAATAACCATACTTTCCAAATCAACAAGACAATACCACCATTGGTCTAGGACCAGCAAAGACATTAAAGGAGATTTGCTTTCTTGCAGAAGCTCTGTCTTACCTTGGCAGGTTTTCCTATCAGTAAGCAGAGCGTAACCCTTGGGGCAGGTGCAGAAGTAGGAGCCTGGAATGTTCTCACAGCCCAGGGAACAGCCGTGGTCCCACAGGCCACACTCATTAACATCTAGGATGGAATTATTGTATGTTTAGTCTAATTATTTCTTAGTAATCCTTGTAGGTAATCATCCATTCCACACTCAATAATTAATACAATAAATTGCTAATACTGCAATTTCATAACATAACATCACATGGCATAGCATATCATAGCATAGCAAAGCATAACATAAAAAGCATTGGTGCTAAATTAATGGATACCATACCTTCACAGTAGTTCCCATGTTTGCTAAGGGCAAAGCCTTTAGTGCACTGGCAGATCCCCTGCTCAGCTGGGTTGGAGCACACATTCACACACACTCCTGTACGACCATCACACGCTGCATTAAAAAGGTTATAGAATAAGTTTAGAACAGAGTTCAAGGTTTTGGAATAGAGTAGGGCCAAACTTATTGAAGAAACAGCTAAAAGACATTGAACTCTAACCTGGAAAGACAGGCATGGAGTCTTCAATTGGCTGGTTGAGGGGATGTACCACCTTGACAGCAGTAGGGGGGTGTGTCATTCGCTTTAGGTTGATATTCTCTGCCTCACCCCCTGAGTACTTATTGACTTGCCATATGGTCCGTGATGTCATATCAGTGTAGTAGACGTGCTCCAGGAACACAGACATTCCCAAAGACTGAGACCTGGTGGGAAGAATGTTCAGAAGTTAGCAATAATATAAACAGATCTACAAGTGATATATCTAATTATACAGTATACTGCTCTAGTTCCAGATACAGATAGCTGCCCTATTGCAACATGGTCTCCTTAGAATATGTCAAAATAGTGACATTTAACCACTGTAGTTACAGTTGAAGTCGGAAGTTTACATACACCTTAGTCAAATACATTTAAACTCAGTTTTTCACAATCTTCTTGTGATACAGTGAATTATAAGTGAAATAATCTGTCTGTAAACAATTGTTGGAAAAATGATTTGTGTCATGCACAAAGTAGATGTCCTAACCGACTTGCCAAAACTATAGTTTGTTAACAACACATTTGTGGAGTTGTTGAAAAACAAGTTTTAATGACTCCAACTTAAGTGTATGTAAACTTGCGACTTCAAATGTATATGTCACCTGTGCTGACAAATTAGTGGCATAATAACTATAATGACATATTCTGCTTACCGTAGTGGCTGGTCAATGACATTGATAACATTCCCGTTGTAGTCACACGACCCAATGGCACTTTCTCCCTCCAGACTGAACTGGACCCAGAACAGTCTCTTGTCCGTCCGGTCGACCGTCAGCACTCCCAGTCTCTCCGGAATCTTCAGCACTGTAGTGATCATCTCTCCTGCTACATCCGACCTCTGAATACTGGGTGTGATCCCGTCGGACAGCCAGAATATAAATCTGAGGAAAGGCATAGTGGTTTTAGGGATAAGGAAGTGGCCCACATTGAAGAGTTTAAATCAGGTAAGAGGACATGCCCAGACATGCCTAACCAAGTACACATGAAATGTCTGGGTATTGGTGATTACACCAAATGTATCCATCCATATAAATACAAGGTTAGATTGAATGTACACAACACTGAGTGTACAAAACATTAGGAACGCCTGCTCTTTCCATGACATAGACTGACCAGGTGAATCCAGGTGGAAGCTATGATTCCTTATTGATGTCACTTGTTAAATCCACTTCAGTCAGTGTAGATGAAGGGCAGGAGACAGGTTTAAGAAGGATTTCAAAGCTTTGAGACATTTGAGACATGGATTGTGTATGTGTGCCATTCAGAGGGTGAAAATATTTACAGTAGGGAAAAAAAGTATTTAGTCAGCCACCAATTGTGCAAGTTCTCCCACTTAAAAAGATGAGAGAGGCCTGTAATTTTCATCATAGGTACACGTCAACTATGACAGACAAATTGAGGAAAAAAAATCCAGAAAATCACATTGTAGGATTTTTAATGAATTTATTTGCAAATTATGGTGGAAAATAAGTATTTGGTCACCTACAAACAAGCAAGATTTCTGGCTCTCACAGACCTGTAACTTCTTCTTTAAGAGGCTCCTCTGTCCTCCACTCATTACCTGTATTAATGACACCTGTTTGAACTTGTTATCAGTATAAAATACACCTGTCCACAACCTCAAACAGTCACACTCCAAACTCCACTATGGCCAAGACCAAAGAGCTGTCAAAGGACACCAGAAACAAAATTGTAGACCTGCACCAGGCTGGGAAGACTGAATCTGCAATAGGTAAGCAGCTTGGTTTGAAGAAATCAACTGTGGGAGCAATTATTAGGAAATGGAAGACATACAAGACCACTGATAATCTCCCTCGATCTGGGGCTCCACGCAAGATCTCACCCCGTGGGGTCAAAATGATCACAAGAACGGTGAGCAAAAATCCCAGAACCACATGGGGGGACCTAGTGAATGACCTGCAGAGAGCTGGGACCAAAGTAACAAAGCCTACCATCAGTAATACACTACGCCGCCAGGGACTCAAATCCTGCAGTGCGAGACGTGTCCCCCTGCTTAAGCCAGTACATGTCCAGGCCCGTCTGAAGTTTGCTAGAGTGCATTTGGATGATCCAGAAGAGGATTGGGAGAATGTCATATGGTCAGATGAAACCAAAATATAACTTTTTGGTAAAAACTCAACTCGTCGTGTTTGGAGGACAAAGAGCGCTGAGTTGCATCCAAAGAACACCATACCTACTGTGAAGCATGGGGGTGGAAACATCATGCTTTGGGGCTGTTTTTCTGCAAAGGGACCAGGACGACTGATCCGTGTAAAGGAAATAATGAATGGGGCCATGTATCGTGAGATTTTGAGTGAAAACCTCCTTGCATCAGCAAGGGCATTGAAGATGAAACGTGGCTGGGTCTTTCAGCATGACAATGATCCCAAACACACCGCCCGGGCAACGAAGGAGTGGCTTCGTAAGAAGCATTTCAAGGTCCTGGAGTGGCCTAGCCAGTCTCCAGATCTCAACCCATAGAAAATCTTTGGAGGGAGTTGAAAGTCCGTGTTGCCCAGCGACAGCCCCAAAACATCACTGCTCTAGAGGAGATCTGCATGGAGGAATGGGCCAAAATACCAGCAACAGTGTGTGAAAACCTTGTGAAGACTTACAGAAAATGTTTGACCTGTGTCATTGCCAACAAAGGGTATATAACAAAGTATTGAGAAACTTTTGTTATTGACCAAATACTTATTTTCCACCATCATTTGCACATAAATTCATAAAAAATCCTACAATGTGATTTTCTGGATTTTTTTTTCTCAATTTGTCTGTCATAGTTGACGTGTACCTATGATGAAAATTACAGGCCTCTCTCATCTTTTTAAGTGGGAGAACTTGCACAATTGGTGGCTGACTAAATACTTTTTTTCCTCACTGTATGTGCCTTTGAACGGGGTATGGTATGCCCCAACGAATTGAGGCTGTTCTGAGGGCAAAAGGGGGAGCAACTTAATATTAGGAACATTCAGTGTGGAACACATTAGTGAACAGGAGAACATTTCATGTTCATGTATATGTATCTGTGTTTCGGTGTACTTCACTTATACTTGTCTGGCATGAAGCAATCGTCTCTGAGGGTCAAAATGGCTCCCTTTTTCTCTGACCAGAGAGTGGAGGTAAGTGAGAGGCAATCTGCCAGATTACACCTATGTGCCAGCAGTGTTAAAAGAGGCAAGGACCCTTTAAAGGCCCAGCATTATAGTAACCCACAAACAAGATGGTGGGTAACTCTAAGGAACTGCATTGGAATGTTTGTCATCAGTGCGCTAATCTTACTCATAGTTACTTGAAAACAAACAGAGATACATGTTGAGATAATATATGTTGTAACCTGTCATTTGGGGCGACTGCTATGGAGATTGGCTGAGATAAATGTCTTAGAAGAGTCCTCTCGTTTTTCCCATCTGTATCCACTCTTTTGATAGTTCCCATTTCTCCGCTGGTCCAGATGACAAAATTGTGAACCCAGTCGACCGCAAGCCCTGAGATCCCTTTCTCAGACGAGTACAGCTTCTGAAAAGGATGCAGTACAGTTGTGGATCTATAACCATTCATGTCAGTGACTCAACCTCGCATACAATTGAGATTAGCATATTGACCACTGACAAATAGGAGGTAATACTGTGTCCATGGGATACGGTGGCCATATTAGGAAAGCTTCAGAGTCACAGTGTCCAAATTAGGACAGCATTTGACATTACATTTAACATTTTAGTCATTTAGCTGACGCTCTTATCCAGAGCGACTTACAGTGCATTCATCTTAAGGTAGCTAAGAGAGACAACTGCAAATCACCGTCATAGTAAGCACATAAATCTTCCTCAATAAGTAGCTATCAGCAAATGCAGTGATAGTAAGAAAAGTCCAAGTGTTAAACTTTTTTTTTTTTTTTTGCAGTGGGGAAGGAGGGGGAGGCGGGGTGTTGTGTCGTTAATCAATATACTCTTTGAAGAGGTTGGTGACTCTGTGACTCTTGTGACTCTGAGGCTGTCCTTATATGGACAATCTGTTTCATTTTTTAAGGTGAACTAGTAGTATGTGGATGCACCTGTCTCTGTGTTCCATCCATTGCTGCTTTGTAGATGACCCCTGTCTTTTTATCGACCCAGTAAACTCTCCCCTCTGTGTAGTGGAAGTCCAGTAGAATAGACTTTCCAACACCGGTCACAACCCTTTTTCGGTTCCCTCCATCTAGGTCCATCCGGTATATAGCCTTACCATGGCCGAAGATCAGATAGGGCTCTGGAGCTTTCCAAAAGGAACATAGATTTTCAATCATAGATGGTAGATAGTGTATGATAATGGTCATTATCCCATCAGACCATCAGACAACACAAATATAAACCTGGAGGACTGTGATGTTAGGGATTCCAGAAGTGACACATACCGGACCCCATCATGGACCGGAAGTAACCTAAGACTTGAAATCAGGTAGTAGAGGGGACCAACTGAGCTAAACTCAGGAATGTAGTGCAGCCAGAGTGCTTTCAATTTGAGAATACACGGAGCTGCTAAAAATATTTCTGGAAAAATGTTCTGAAGCTGAATCAATGTCCTGCAAGATTACATAATGATGAATGACTATAATATAATACCATAGCATAGTAAGCCTATAATATTACTGTTACACCTCAAATACATCCTCATTTCTAGTGAGATTTTAGGAGCCGAAGCTGAATAGTCGCATTTCTTGTCTCATACGGCCAAAACTCAACAGCCCGTGTTACTAGGCAGAATATATGCATTGATACAGTAGTTGAAGAAGATCTAAATGCATATTCCCATTAAACTGCTTGAGATCAAATGAGTGTTATGCAGACGCAGTTTGGACATTTCACCGGTAAAACGTGAAGAATGATCTATTTTGGCCTATTTTGAAATTAGGTGTGCCTTACTTGGTGTTCGAGGGTATAAAAAACATTTCTGGAGACAATATGTTTGGCATAGGCAGACATTGCAATTGGAGGATGCATTTTATGCATATTCTATAATAATATTCAATAGGCTACATCTGTCGGTACAAACATTGATTGAGAAATGATGACATCTAAAACAATTTCACTACACCTCAGGTTATACCCTTACATTTTCTAGAGAAATTCAAGGTGAGTACACAGTGCATAGTGTGCAGGACTATAGTGT